CGGTAGGGCAGGATTTGTACTCACTATTAAAATAACAGTTTCGTTGGGAAACACTGACATCATGGAAGAAAAATTTTTTGGGGGTGCGGGGGGGATTACCGATCCTTTGTGGTAAAAAGTGGCAGGCCCGAGGGGGAAGCCACTTGCACTCTGGTCAGAAGACTTCCTCCCACATGCTCTTCTCTGGTGAGAGCTGGTGACAGTCTCCTGCAGGTTTCTCCTGGACCCTGGCTCCTCCACCGATACTGGGTATTTCCTTCCTACTGTAGAACCACAATCCAACAGCTCTGACACCCAGCTGGTCACAAACAAGTATGTATGTGGCAGCCAAAGAGTGGGTGGTGGTGGGTAGACCACCATATGCCCTGAGTGGCTTCAGGCAGGGGCGGACCAGCTCCACCCACGGCACTTGGTCCTGTCTCCTGGCTGGTGGATCAGCCTGTAGCCTCCAGTGTTTTTAAGAAATAACAATGCAAAGGGCTAACTTTCTTAAGGCAAACAAGCCCCGTGCTGTCTGAGTGATATAAATGATATAAATGTGCCCACAGAGGCATCTCTCCTGGGAAAGGAAAAAGGCCTGACCATTCTAGTAGAAGTTATGGCTATCCAGAACACTGATCTGGGACATAGCAGGGCATGGCCCATAGGCATAAGCATTGCCACTCTGAAGTGACAATGTTGCTGTTTCTGGAAGCAGACATCCTTCCCTGAAGGACACAGCCCCCCACTAGAACCTGCACCCTTCCCCAGCCCAGTCTTCCTCAGGTGGCCCACTTGTCACCTTATATTTGTGCAAAGCTCTGCTTTTCCAAGGACACCCGTAATGCTGTTTTGTGAGGGCCTGGAAGTGACTGGTGAGCTGCTTAGAGTAGAGCTAGCAGGGTCCAGGCCCTGTGTGCTGCTGCCTCTTGCCAGCGGCTCTCTTGCCCTGCGGTGTGCTTGCCCCTCCACTGGGCAGGAGGAAGGTCTGCTACAGTGCCAACAGGCAGAGCTCCTGGCCCTTCCCAGGCCTCAGGAAGGTCTAGATTTAACTTGAGTCTTGTCTCTTCTAAGGACTGCATTGAATCTTTACCCCGCCCCTCCTCCCCAGCCTCCGCTGGGGCAGACCGAGCACCTGATATTAAGCAACACAGGCCTCTATGGGTTACACAACTTTTCCATCCTTGCCTAGGCCCTCTAGGAGGCCACCAGACAGAACTGAGGCTGAATTCCACCTCTACCACTGACTAAGGGTGACCTTGGCCCAGAAGTCACACTCTATTGAATTTCTGGAATGTCATTTCTATGAAAGGGCAAAATTTCGTGAATAGGGTGGGCAAGTCTGCTTCTGAGCTCTCTCTCCTGGTCTATGGGTCTCTTAGATTTAGGGGGCTGGGTGGAGAAGGGGTGAAATGCGATGCCTGTACCTCCATATATGGGGCAGCCACACTCCTCCCCACTAACCAGCACCAGGCAGGAATATGAATCAAGTGTGGCCAGAGCTTCTGCTTTTCAACAAAAAGCAAAGTATCTAGCTTTTTAGGTGAAATCTCTAGATTTTTCAACATTGGCAGCTAATTTAATTTTTCTCCTTCCCCTCCCCCAAGTTACACAAACTGCAGCTTGCCAGGCTGCTGGGTTTCAGCCTCTGCCTTAGGCAAAACATCTTGCGTTACTTTTCTCTGAAATGGGTTTATGATACAACCTCACAAAGTTGTGAGACTCCCAAGAGACGATATGTGTACAGCACCTGGAACACAGACTATGCTCATCACACACGTGCCTGTCCGTACCTTCTTGCTTCTACCTAGGTTTCGTTTTTGTCTCACCAAGGAGCAAAAACTTTGCCAGCTGAACAATTATTTGGTCATTCTCTCATATCTTGGACTTCTCTCATACCTTCCCAGCATTTATTACGTTCCTCAGTCTTGCAAATCCCCAAGTCGACTTGCCTTTAGTCAAGTGACCACAGAGAGCAGAGCTGAGCTTCCTGAGAAATCAGCGACATTAGCTCCCAGGAGAGGGGATACATTTGAAAGGTTTTCTCCCTTCGGTTCCTTCTGGTCAGAAAGCCAGCATCCTCTGAGACCATAGGACACCAGAGAGATTCTAAAGAACTAAGTCCCATGGGATATAAAAAAAAAACAAAGATCAGTGTTTATCTCCCAACAGTCCTTTTGGAGAAGCCAGGCCCCCCACTAATGAGTTACCTTCACATAGAAATTTGAGGGCTAGGCCCGGGAAGGTAGCTCTGAACCAAGGTGGCCGAGAGAACAAGAGAAGCAGCCTCCCCATGAGACCCGCTGAGTCTCTATGCTGATTGCAGTTGAGGTGGCTCGTCTGGTCTATAAGGGAATCTTCCGTCACTGAGCCCTGTGACCCAAGTCTCTCTAAGTACTAGCTGAAGGATGTTGTTATACACGGTGACACCTGCTAATAAACCAGTCATCCTGAGCCGCATTGTATCAAGAATCTAATTCCAGATTCTTCTGGATGTGGGAAAATGACCAGGAAAAAGATGAACAGAGATACTACTGAGAGGTGAGGGTTGAGCAGCAGATAAAATCTTATTATCCTGGGGAACTCTTAGGCTTGATGTGTGGCTGGTTCACTTTACCTTAAGGACTCCTGGGGCATAATTTCATACCCAATGAGGTTTAAGAAATTCCAGATTAAGATCTAGGAAGCTACCTCTTTGTCTCTCTGTCTCTCCGTCTCACTCAGTCTCTCTCTGTCACTTTCTCTGTCTCTCTAGCTCTGTCTGCCTGTCTC